CTCAAAAGAGTAATTTCTTAATCTACTTCTGTGAACAATACTGAAAGAAGTGGGGTAGGAACAAGTGGTGATTTCACAGCCAAGATATTCAAGTCAGATTCCTCCTGTTTTATAACCTAGGGGCATTGATAAGGGGCTGTGGATCATCTGGCCTTCGTGGTTTGGGCTGTACCCATGTGTCAGGCAAGCTGCAGTCATCACTGCATCAATTTGTAGAGCTGGTTAGAGAATGCAGTTACATTTCATGGGAGAAAAATCACTTTTCACTAAGTTGCCCTTGGAAACTCTGGCTTTCTAGTGAGATCTATGATTTAATGCATAACCTATAAGTAACCAGTAGCTACGTGCAAAAGAGAGAGACCTCTAAAGACCACTTAGCCCTGTCTTTGCTGACACAGGCATCATCTTCCCCAAGTCTCTTCCCCATGCTGATCAAGCTCCATCTCAAAATCTAAAATATATATATTTCAGATGGCTTGCTTCAGTTTGCAGAATAAATTATCTGTCTGAGCCAAAATAAGACTCAGAGCTCTAGATTATGTGAAGACATTACAAAAATATCCAACTCTACTTATCCAGCCAACATTTGATGGGACACTGAAAATTAGTTTACCTTTGATATTTATCAATATTTGCAGTGGCTGTAAACACAAGACAATACTCTTGCATTGCAGAAAGGTGTTCTTTAAATATACCCATTAAAATCTACAAACAAGTAAACCTTACAGTCATCACAAAGGAAACCAAGGAAAAATCAATGATACTAAAAATAACTCTTTGGAAAAGTAGATAATAGCAGGATAAGGGGAAATGGCTTTAAGTTGAAGGAGGGAAGATTTAGGTTGGATGTCAGGGGGAAGTTCTTTAGAGAGTGGTGAGGTGCTGGAACAGGCTGCCCAGAGAGGCTGTGGATGCCCCATGCCTGGAGGTGTTCAAGGCCAGATTGGATGGGGCCCTGGGCAGCCTGGTCTAGCATTAAATGCGGAGGTTGGTGGCCCTGCATGTGACAGGAGGGTTGGAACTTGATGCTCCTTGAGGTCCCTTCCATTCTGTAATTATGTGATAAAAAGGTTTAGTAACATCATGCTTACTAAGTTGATTCATGTGGCTATATATTCAGCAAGCACAAAAATATACTGGATAATTGACTTACTGAGCATAATCCATCCTGAATTCAAAGTTCAGCAGAAAAAGCAGTACATGACCCTTCTCACTTGTGAAAACTTTAGTAGAGCATACAGGGTAAGAACATGAATTTCAGCACTTTTTTCATTTTTTCTCTCTTGAATTTAGAACCTGAACAGATCTATTTTAATGAACAGCCATAAATACATAGCCACAAAAATAAACAAAACTAATGCAAGAAGTGACATAGGAATAAAAAGGGGATAGGGAATGCAACTCTAGTATGTTTAAAGACCATATATTAACCATACATATAAGTATGCTATGTGACAGTGAAACAGCTAAATCTAAGTCATGATCAAGACTGGACTGAGCAATGGAAAAATAAGGACAAACATCATATGTATGGCTTAATATAAAAATGTTGAAATATTCTCAGGCTGTCATCACGATGGGGGATTTTGCGAGCAGGAGATCTGCTTGCAAAACAACAGGGCAAGCTACAAGTGATTGACCAGGAGACTCCTGGAGTCCATTGACAATAACTTTCTGGTTCAATATTGGAGAGATCGACCAGAGGTGAAGCGCTGCTGGATCTAGTGCTCAACTATGTGGAGGAAATCATTAAAGATATTAAGATCGACGGGGCTGCAGCAACCATGCCCTGCTTGAGTTTGTGATTTCAAGGAATGTGGGACTGGCAAAGATTGGAGTCAGGACCCTTAACTCCAGGAGATCAAACTTCATGGAATTGTTGGATGAGATCATGGACTTGTGTCCAATTCTGGGGCTTCCAACACAGGAAAGATGTGGAGCTTTTGGAGACAGTCCAGAGGAGGGCCACAAAGATGATCCAAGGGTTGCAGCATCTCTCTCGTGAAGACAGGCTGAAGGAACTGGTCTTATTCTGCTTGTTAAAGGAGAAGGCTAGGGGGAGACCTCATTGCAGCCTTCCAGTATTTAAAGGGAGTTTATGAACATGAGGGAAATCAACTTTTTAGAAGGGTAGATACTCATAGGACAAGGGGAATAGTTTTAAACTAAAGAGAAATTTAGATGAGATGTCACAGGGAAGTTTGTTATTGAGAGAACGGTGAGGTGCTGGAACAGGTAGCCCAGAGAAGTTGGGGATGTCCCATCCCTCAGGTATGTAAGGTCAGGCTGGACGGGCCCTGATCAAGTACTTGATCTAGCAGTTAGCAACTCTGTCTGTAATAGGGTATGGGAATTTGATGATCCTTGGGGTCCCCTTCTAACCCAAGCTATTCTATGATTCTGCATTTCAATATCAAGTCTGTATTGATTAAGCCTCTATCAATTTTATAGTAGCTATAATTTACAAAACAGCTAGATTAGTTTTGTTTACAATTATACAAAATATTTGTACTACATGACCATCACAAGCTCGCGAGTTGCAGAGTTGTTATATTGCTCTTCTGAGGCACAGATTTCTACAGCAAGCACTGAGGTTTGGCTGAGTTCATTCACTGACTTTAAGTCTCCAACCGCTTTAAATTACTTATCCCTTCACTTCATAAGTAAGTACAAGATGCATTTCAAGTTTAAATGTGCAAAAACCAAGTTACTGTACTATAAAATAGAGCAAGAACTTGCATTTTGCTGGATAGGTGCCCAAAGCAGCTATCAGTATCTTATAGCACACTTGAGCCTTACTGTGTTGCACTCACCTACCTACTCTCTGATGAGAGAAGGGAGAGAGATGCTCCCTTTCTAGATCCTTCATAAATCTATACCGAATTTATTTAATCAAGTTTCACAATTGTATGCCATTGCATAATTTACTCAAAAAAATCCCAAAGTTAGAAAAATAGGCTGTAAAGCCTGAGTTACTTAGTTTTTATTTACGCATCTAGATGAAGGGGCACTATAACATAGTTAACATGGAAGGACAATTAAAATTCTTTGAGTGAACTCTGCATTTCCATACATTCCTCAGTCACTGTTTTATTTTCTGTCAGATAAGTCTAATACATTCAATTCAACCTCCAAAATCTCAGTCCTACTAAGCAGCTCAGTCTAGTTCACAGAAAAGAAATTTTAAACAATGCAAAAAGCTTCAATAACAATGTAATTCATCCCTGCCCATTTTCAAAGTATAGTTGAAACTAGACTCTTACAGGAGGAGATTTCTGCTTCACATGAGCAATTTCCTTGTAATTCGAACACTCTAGTTCATAAATCTTCCCAAGCCAAGATCTTGACATGGCAAAGTGGGCATGCTCAAGTTTGAATTAGATGTGTGAAGTATGTCCTTAAAAATAAATCTCTTTAATTATTAACATGGCTTACATAGCTAGAGGTACTTTAATGGACCATGAAATTACCAAGTTATTCTAAATACAACTACTATCTGACCATAGCACCTGGAATTCCCTGTCAGAGAGCAAGCAGGATCCATTCGAATACATAACAGAAGGAAAAGCCTTTTAATATAACATACCCATGGGTATATAAAGGCTGAAAACAGCTGTATTTATTTCCATAGAAAGCCATGTCTGTAACATGTACAAACAAGCCACATAACACATTTTCAGTATCACCATCATTTCCAAGATCATGCCATCTTTATGCCAAGGTAAGCTTTTTAAAATAGGCCTTCCTTTCCTACCAAGTTTTCACTCCTTACATAAGCCTGCCCTGCCTAACTGCTCCCACAGAACCATTCCTCTGTTTCAGCAGCAAAGGCAGAATAGAGAGCAACCATTTATGTATACACACTGCTCCCCTAAAGAGGAAGCTAGACAAGCATGCCTTGGATAAAGAGTGCAGCATATCAGCTTTCAGCCAAAACAAACCTTGGCCAAAATGAATCAACTGAGGCCACAAACCTTGCATTGCCTGGTGTCTGATTGCACAGGAAGCTCGGGAGGAAGGTAAAACTTTCTTTTTAAGCTGACCAAGAATATCAGAAGGGCAACACTGCAGAGGCAGCTATTCATTGCCATAGCACTGTCACATTGCTGTATTTAAAAAGCACCAAAATATTCCTTCTACACTTGCATCAACTTTTGGGATTTCACATAAGGCCCTATTCAAAGCAGGATAACTAGCAGTTATCCTTATTCCACTCAGCACCATACTGGCTAGAGAAAAAGAAAACAAGAAGAAAAAACGTGGTTCTCTGATCGTAACCCATGTTCCTTTGCATGTCCAAACTGTAAACCAGAGAAACCTCCCACAGGCACCGCACTCTTGGGCAATGCTTTATTTTTCACTATTAGTAGAATGGCATAAAAAGTGGGCTTTAAATAGCATCCCAAAGCAACCACCACTTCCCTTCTCATCCCAAAATATAAAACAAGAACCTCAGTAAGTCTCAAGTCAATACAGAGAATTAAAACAAGAAATGTATAGCATGAGAGCCAGAGAGAATTGAAAATAAGCAATTATACAAAATTTCAGTCAATACTTAAAGCGGCAACACCAGGTGGCCTCAGATAGAGGTTTGCAGAGTGTTTTAGATGAGCAAAGCTGACTCAGCAACACAGAGTAAACACAGTGACTGCTGCTCAGAATCTAGTACACTCAGAACACTGCATGCAAAACAAACTGCTTAAAGATGACTAAAAACCAGACACCACTATGCAGATAACGGTGTATTTTAACAACAACAAATAGAATCTATCATTCTGAGATCTTAAACAAGGCATGCAGTATGTTTGTTTTGTGGGAAATGCTTATGTGTGTGGTGAAAATGAAGAAACAAACACTGTTTTGCCTAGCAGATGTATGCTTTCATTGAATATTTTGACACGTTTTACTAGGCACATTCTACAAAAGAGCAAAGTATATTTAACCAATACTGTTCTAGGCAAAGAATAAAAAAGAATAAAGTATTTTCAAACCAACGTTACCTTGGAAAACCGAGCATTTATCCATTTCGTAAACGTCTTTTTCTGTACATCATTGTGTTCATCTGGAGAGAGACAAGAAAGCCATGAGTGAGAGTATTGTTCTTCATCTTAGCTTGTTAAATACCACCCAAACTCAATAGCAAAAATATCTTTATCTGTAGAAGCCTACACAAAACTTTGGTGTAGTTTCAGCTTTGACAGAAATTATTGTGCCTCCTTCACATTAAGCTCAGCTTTGCAGTGCTCCCCAGCACTGAGATGGACAACGACACACATACCAAAATCACAAGCTTCCAAGCTGTTGAAGAGCAGCAGCCTACAAACCACAGCCTTTTAATCAACAGTCTGTCAACGCTTCTTTACCCTGATGCATTACTTCACAAGCTGCTAAGGTCCTTTCTGAAGCTTTTGATGCAGATAATAGCCTCCTTCAGCAGAGCAGCAAAGCTGCTGGGACAACCCTGGAAGCACTCACATGCTTACCCACCTCCAGCTTGGTTTTACAGTTGAATCACAAACGAGGTGAATGAACTGTCACTAACCCGGGTGTGAAAGGGCTGGGCAGCCAGGCAGGCATCTACTGGTGCAGCATCAGCATACCTCAGCCTGGGACCCAGCAGGATGAAGAGGAAGGATAGGAGAGAATCTACAGGTCAAAGCACAGAAAGGAGCTGCAGCCTGCAACTCAGAAAAGGAAAGACTGCTTTCTTGACTGTTTTTAACAATGTCATTTGGGAGTCAGCTGTAATTTTAGACATAATCTCTTATGAGGTGGGTGCTTGACACAGAATATCAGAATAAAGATTTAAACTCCATGTATATTAAATATTTTGACTTTTTCCTGCTCCAAGTTTGTGTTGTGGTTTTTTTTGTTGTTCATTTGTTTCTTTGAGACAGGAACAAACTGCATTATTCACTGATACTGGTAGACCAAAAAGTGAGCCTCGTACAAAATTCAGTCCCAAATGCTGTCCACCTACTAATAATGCTTCCCATTTACATTAATTGCAAGTACTATCTGTATAAAACACACTGAGACGTAAAAATGTCAATCTCTTTTTAAAGATCATTCAGTAAGTTCCATCCTTTTACTGAACCCCCCCCCCTCCAAGAACAGTACATGGGAAGTCTCTTATTCCCCAGCATTATACCAGCTGCAGCTGGCCAGGCCACACTCCTGCAGCACCTGTCCCCCAGCTCTGGCTTCCAAACCTCAGGCTCACTTCAATTTATGTGCTTAGACTGTGCATTGCAGTAGCATGTGACATTTACTAAAAATCCAGCCCCTTTTCCCCCATTTCAAAAAAAAAGTTTCCTAGGGAGAGAGAGAGAAACAAACAATCCCACAACTGACACAAATTAACTTGATCTGCAATGGAGGCAGAAGTGATATGGATTTATAGATCCCATTATCTCTCAGTGTTCTTTCTAGTTGAGCAAAGAAAGAGTCCTCACTACCCTCATCTCTCCAAAGCATTCTTGCTCAGCAATAAAACCAACAGGAGATGCTTTCCCACTTAAACTACACTTCCACATTTGCCTTACAAAAATCCTAGCTTCAGAGGGTTTTTATAATTGGCCATTATAGCTAGGGTCATGTCAAGCTTTCTGCTATAAATCACTGGAAAACCATCTGAACCCAATATAGTGCTGCTTTGTTAACAACAGCAACAAGGTATTTTATCCCTCAAATTAATTTTCTTTAGATTCCTACCAGTCTGTAAAGTTAATCCCTGAAGGCTGACATAAGGATTCAGATAACAAATTAGCCAAAAAACAGTATTACCATTCAGTGAAGCACATGGTACTACACACCATTTTTCACACAAGACATTAAAAATGTCAGCAAGTTGTAGCTGAGTGAGAAACAAATTTACCAAGTTGCTAAAACACTTGTGTTTCCTTTCACACTGCTGTAGCCTCACACTGAATAGAACTGCATAGCAAAGGACAGAGTGTGGGCCAATTTTTACTTCACCACCATACCAATTGTTTCCTCTGAAAAAATATGGCTCTGCATGCCCTCCAGTCATTTAATAGGCTTTTAACAGCTGATGTCAGAACAGTTTGTTCCTTTAAGAGGAAGTAAAAAGAAACCAACACACACACACACACACAAAATTAAACTCTTGTGATGATAACAGAAGGGAAAAGCTTCCTATTCTGGATGTTGGCTTGTGTTATACAACATGATGCACATCTATGCAACAGGGGTACTCCCAAAACAAATAGCTCATGTGAACTAACGCCCTAACTCTCTCCTGGCAGTTGATTACCCACAGTAGTCACGTTTACAGTCTTACGTACCTCCTCCACTCTGAGCACTGTCCCTTAATTCTACCGAGACAGTAGAATGTGCAGTTCAGGTTCAAGCTGTTACCTTACAAATATGGAGCAAAAAAGCAAAAATTCAGGAGCAAAAAGGAATCCAAATGAACTTAAAATGAGAGGTAAAAAACAAAAACCTCACTGGATTGTGCTTTGCCCTTTATTTAACCTCTGCTTCATACTGAGAGCCAGCTCCATTATTTCCCCAAAACGCATTATGTGCTTACATGACGAAACTGTGCTATTCAGTTTTTGAAAGACAAAAATTATCGCACCCAAAGTAGCTGGCAGAGCAGCACTATGATGAAAGTGCCCTGGAGAAACAAACAGACCGAACTAGATAAATCCGAGTTCACTTGCCAACCAGTTCAAAACAAATTGCCAATGGTCAGCTCGCATTTTAAGACTTAAGTCTGCATTCCTCACTTCTTTATTTAAGTTCTCACTTGAGTGTAGAGAAGGAATTTAGAAATAAAAGAAGGAATTAGCCTGTGGCTTCCAGTTAAGGCACTAGGAATGTAACAAAGCTAGAAACAACCCTTTGCCTATACCTCTGGGCAGGCAAGAGTATCTATCACAGGGACGGCCCCACCCAGGACTAGCACATCTGACAGTCTTGCATTAGCAGAAGGAATATGTGTTTCTGTTCTTGTGTGTAGGATTTTTTGGACTGAAAAGCAATCTTGAAAGTAACCATTCTTTTGTCAAAGCAAGTCAGACTAATTCACATCTAAAGACACAAAATAAGCATTGAAAATTTGAAGGTGGAAACCAGAGTAGTTTTTATCCCCACTAGCAAGAGACACAAAGCCAAGAAAATTACAAAGCAATGGAGTTCACAACCACATGGCTTAAAGAAGAACTTCCAACACTCAGCGGTGTATACCGGGCCCTGACTTTATTAAAACAGAACAAGCTTAATTAGCAGCTCTTTCCAGTGTTGCCAATGCTTTAAAAAAAAAAAAAGCAAAACTTAGGGTTGTTATGCAGATCCCCTTCTCTTGCACCACCATTAGAAACCAAATGGCTGCAGCAATAAGCTATTCACTTTAAGCTTCTGCCTTCCCACTGCATCTTCAGTCCCCACGATCAGTGGCCAGCACAATGGTTTTCTTCATTCCTTCCTTCACAGTGAATTTCAGCAGTTGGGCAAGAACTCAGCTGTAACAATGGTTCCTCTAACAAAAGAGGAATGGAAGCAGCCTACAGCAACAAAACGCAGTTGCCCAAATCATAAGTTCTCTGTAGAGACCAAACTATGAAATAAGGGCCACTAAAAGAAACACAGATCAAAAAACCTTATACCTCACTCCCTGGTGTTTCCCAAACACCAGCTGAAACAAAGCACTACAGAGCAGTAATGAGGAACCCCTGTGGTTTTCACTCAAGTGTGCTGTGAGTATAAGCTAAATTGGATTTACTTCACAATAAAAAAAAATCCCCCAGCAACTGATAACTAAGAAGAAGGAATCCTCACAGCTGAAGCAATATTAAAATAGCTGTTCCCATACCTCCCAGCAAAAACAATCCAACGCTCCATGCTGCTGGCCTCAGCACATTGGAATGGTATTTAAAGAGAGCACAAAGCTCTCAGACAGAAATAATGCTGCAACACCACACCACAGGCCTGCTCGAACTCCCACGCTCACCAGCCAGCCACCTGACTGCTTCCATGTCACGATACTGCAGAACCAAGGGTTCCAGGCAAAGCATCCCCAGTACATGCGCAGGGCTGCTCTGGAGGGCACATGACAGCTTTCTATTCTCAATGGGACAAAAGAGGCCAGGGTGTAGGTGGAAAGGGCTGAAGAGGGGAAGGAACACACCTCAGGACCACTCCCTTCCCAACTAGACCTCAGGGGTCAACCCCAAGCTGACCCAATTTCAGCAAGTTTTGCATGCTGACAGCAGTAAGCCAGCTAAAACTGAGAAAACGGAGACACTGGGGTGACAGCAAGCACTGTGCTCAGAAGAAAACTCCTGATCATTCAGGCAGAGCTTTCCAATGACGCATTCCCCATTCCGGTCCAGCAGACCCTGAACTTTTGGTCAAGCTAACCAGCACCACCTCTCAGTGGAAGATCACCCTGCAATATCTTTGGATGTGATACAAATGCATTTTGACACACACTTCACAAACAGCCAGTGATCATATATCTGAATTAAAGCTGGAAAGGTTTCCAATAAAAGCTTAACATTTTAGAGCAAGTTTGTTAAATTTTCTTACAGCAATTTGTTAGAGTAAATCGTATGTCAGAGCAAAGGGTTTCAGCTACCAGCAAAGAGCATTGCGGGTGGAAGAAAAGACTAAAATAAAGGTATCTCAAATACCTTTATAATGACAGCAATTGCCTTGGATGGTATGTGCCCTGTAGATATCTTAGGACAAGCTTCACCCATAGAGCCAGAAAGATGAAGTTTCTCTTATTACCATGACTCAAACTGGTGACAGGGAAGGCAACTGATGTCATCTACCTGGACATATGCAAGGCCTCTGACATGGTCCCTAACCACATCCTCATCTCCAAATAATCAGAGAGATTTGTTCAGATGGAGGCTGGTAACAAGCAGCGCCCTCCAGGGGCCCATCTTGGATCCAGCACTCCTTAACATTTTTATCAATGAAACAGATGATAGGATTGAGTACATCCTCAACAAGTTTGAGGATGATACCTAGAAGAGCAGTGTGGTTGATATAGCAGAAGGAAGGGATGCCATCCAGAGGGACCTTTAT